GCAACTTTTTTCGGTGCCTCCGGGCACAACTTTTCTCCGACAACGAATGGTAATTTCTCCCCGTGGCGCGCAATGACTTTGTTATGCACGGGCACGTCCTGCACTCCGCGAGCGAGAGCAATATCGTGTCACGAATACGTCGATGCCCGACACACGATGCACTTGCGCGCACGGTTCTTTGAACTTACGACCTGATAACTCTCCTGCGGATGCTTTCATCGCGCGGCCGACGCATTACCCCGGGAAAAACGGAAGAGTCCGCGGGAAACTTTCTCCGATGGACGTCCTTCGGAGATCAAAGCGGCTGACAAGCTCGCCGTAGCCGTCAACCTTTCCTTTTATTTTACCTTCGCCGACGCGATGGAAATATTCACCGTAGTATAATTATCGCACGTTTATTTTTACGTTGCACAACGGGAAAAATGCGCGTTCGGACCGAGCGAGCCTATAGGTCGTCGGTCTAGCGTTAAAAAAAGAAACCCAAGAAAGTCTTCGTGTAAATTAACCCTTTCGGTACGAGCGCCGGATATATCCGGCATCCATCCGACGACCAATATGGACGAGTGCCGAATACATTTGGCATCCATGTAAGACATATTTCTGTAGGCCCTTTACAGAATGTTTACAGGAAACATTTAAAGAAAGATTTAGAAACGGATTAAGCACAGAAAATCTTCGTACAAAAGTGGACTGACACTGCGTTATGCGCGCATTTTCGGCGCGGCACCCCGTACAGTGGGAGTGTCACGGCGGACAACGCGCTCGTACGGAAAGGGTTCAGGACGAATTAGGGCAATCGCGGCAGACGTCCGTCCGACCTCGCGTCATCCTCCGGAATCGTTCGTTCGATACCGGAAATCGCCTAGCTAGCGGGCGGACGTGACGTCGCACGGTAGTATCTTTCCCTAAAAAGTTGGTCGAGGTGCAATTTTCGAAGTACAGAGTGTTCCAAAAATGTCTCGCAATCCGAAAATGGCAGGTTTCTCGGGTCATTCGAAGCAACTTTTTCCTTTACAAAAATGTTCTCCGAGGCACCGTTAACGAGCTATTAACGAAAAACAGTGACCGATGAGAGGCGAGCTCGGCTGGCGCGAGGCGACCGAACCAATGAGCGGAACTGGGCTTCGCGCGCTGCTTGGCTGGGCCGCCTCGCGTCAGCCGTACTCGATTCTTATTGGTCACTGTTTTTCGTTGATAACTCGTCAACGGTGCCTCGGACAACATTTTTGTAAAGGAAGAAGTTGCTTCGAATGATCCGAGGAACCCGCCATTTCCGCATTGCGAGGCATTTTTCGGACACCCTGTATGCTCTGGTTAAGTAGTTCGTCATCCAATTCCTCGAAGAAACGTTTCCGTAGCATCGGTAACCGTGCAAGCATGAATCAGAAATTAGTCGCTTCGACTGTTTTGGTAGCGCTAGCGTCAACGAGTGGAATTAATTACGCTTTCGAGGGAATTTCCTGTTCGTCTATAAAATCCGGGATTTCCTTGAACGTTCGAAGCGCGGCCACCGGGTCCGCGCGATCTACGCGATCCGTTCGATCGAGCCTAACCGCGAAAGGCACGCAGAAGGCATCTTGGGCAGTACCTCGTGACATTTCAAGTGGCTCGAGGATGCTCCGGGACTCGGCTGGCGCGTTCTTCTTCCCTCTGCGGATCGTCGATTCATCGAGGAGGGAGATGGTTATTTGCAGACTCGTTTCTAACCGTCCGCCGCGCGCCGGCTTGCTCTGTCTTAGCTAATGAAAAATCAATAGGTGTCCCGGTGCTCGGTGCTCTCGGTGCAGTTTCGCGAACCAAAGCGGCGTCACGTGCCGCTTCCGGTGGCTCTCGCCCGGAGATCGTCTCTGATTTTCCACGTATCGATAATCTCCTAATCTCATTGGCACCGAAGCCTCCCGGAGAGACGACGATCGCGTAGCAGCGCGATGCTTGAACCGCCGAGGGACCAGCTGGAAAATCACGGTACCGTTTCCGCACGGAGAGACGAACTCCTTCGGTCGGTTCGATAGTTTCTTCGCCTTCGCAAGAAATTCGCGAACAATTAGGACCAAGTTTGTTCTCTCTTCGGTATTTAACCCTTAACGGTCCATCGCCGCCATACACGCGGAAGAAATTAATAAAACCGTAAAATCTGGTAGCAAACATTGGAAGAATAGGCACGATTATTTCGATGAAAATGTATCAACGAAGTTTTATTTTTAAAAATGAATATTTCTTCTCTATATTTGATAGAAAAATTTTCAGTAAAATATTTCTCTTCGTCTGAAAAACAGTCCGGACTTGGCAGTGTGTAAACTGGAAATAGTTTTGGTCCTGGAAATAAATATACTATATAATACTATATTACAATACTATACTATAATACTATACTATAATACTAAACTGGAAATAGTTTTGGTCCTGGAAATAAATATACTATATATATATGATACTATACTATAATACTAAACTGGAAATAAATAGTTTTGGTCCCCTAAGGGTTAACTCGCATCTTTCGTCGTCTCGTCCGTTCGTTGACGAAACAAATTTCATATGACCGATACGCGAAAGAGAAGGCAAATCGAATTAATTTCGCGAGAAAGTCGAACTGGGTCTCGTATTCTGTGTATTCGAAGTCGGTAGATTGTAAAAGAATATGTACATATTTTAGCGTTTAGACGCGTCTATTCGCTCTTAACGAAAGCGGATTTCTAATCGAAGATAAAACGATTCGAAAAAGAAACGGGGGTCTTCTATCGGGCACCTTCGTCTTACCGGCGAGCGATCCGAGCGGAGGAAGAAGATCGAATCTCGTTTATCGAAGCGGCGCGATTACCGAGCATGCAGTTTCGCAATTAAATCCGTACAATACCGCCTCGCAGCTTTCTCTGGATACGACGGAGCCGCCGACCGGCAATTAACAATAAATATCTGTAAAATGAGCCGGGATCCTGCGATTCCGCTAGGGACGATCGTAAATCCGGCGTTCCCGTAAATACGTACGGTAATGTCTCCCTAACTGACGCTCAGATTGCGCGCAAAGATGGACAATTTGGGAAGAGGAGATACGATTATTCGAGCCTCGCGTCTCGTTTTTATAATTGTTGAAAATTCGTAACTATAAATATAAACCGCAAAGCTCGAATAATCGTATCTCCACTTCCTAAATTGTCCATTTTTGTGGACAACTTGTGCGTCAATTAGGGAGACATTACTGTATCTTGGTTTCAGCCGAAAATACCGGTCAAGGGGAATCGATAACGCTCGACTGGCTCGTCAGGAGAGCATTAGGATGTGGAAATCGCTTTCGATAGCTAGAATTCGTAGCGTATCCAATGTCGTTCCAGAAGGGATCTTTCCACGGGCCGGCGTTGCGCCGGTTGACCTGTTTGCGGTTTTCTTCTCGCGCTTAGCGCGAACGTTTCTTTTTCACGGCACACCGGATTCACGCTGGAATTTTCCCCGCAGCCACGTGTTATTTCCGTCGGACGCGTTTTGCCCGGCGAACGAACGCGGCGGCGGCGGCGGAACGTCGTCGTTTAGAAAACGATACAACGGCGACGACGGTTTCTTTCGTTTCTGGTCTCGGGCGCTGCTCGCCGAGCGATAACTTTCCGCGCCGCGATAAATGCTCGGCACACGCGAAACTAACGACCGTCGCGCGACGAGGAGAGCGCGGAAACTTTTGCGTCCCGCGACGTCGAAATCCGCGAACTATCGAAGCGCAGATTTTTCTGGAAATTTTTCGCTCACAACGCAGCGCTTTCTACCAATCCTTTGAATGGAAACGACGAGTCTCTCTCTCGACCGCAAACGTTTTCTGTGCCATTTTCTGACGCCCGCCGCTTTAACTTCGACCGTTATACAGACTGTGGAACAAAAAATCATTATACAGGGTGTCCCAAAAATAAATAAATAAATAAATAAACGCTTATCCTGTGCTCGAGCGAAGATATTGCGAACTTCCGCGGTTCAATAACAACGCGACGCATCGGGCAGATAAAGAACGGCTCGCGCGAGCGCGCGTATCTCGTAAGTGGCGCAATTGAGGAATTTCAAGAAATCCGGAAACGCGATTAACCGTGGATCGAGGCGTCGCGTTTTACGCGCAACGAAAAGCAGTGACCAATAAGAATCGAGTACGGCTGACGCGAGGCGGCCCAGCCAACCAGCGCGCGAAGCCCAGTTCCGCTCATTGGCTCGGTCGCCTCGCGCCAGCCGAGCTCGCCTCTCATTGGTCACTGTTTTTCGTTGATAACTCGTTAACGGTGCCTCGGAGAAAATTGTTGTAAAGGAAAAAGTTGCTTCAAACGACTCGAGGAACCCGCCACTTTTGGATTGCGAGACATTTTTGGGACACCCGGTATTTTTATTCTTCCGACTCGTAAGATATAATACGGGTAATCGGAATTGGGTATTATTCGGATCGCTTCGAGTAGATATTCATCCAACGATAAGATAATTATCCGAATTCCTTCCGGTCGAATATTTTATTCGAATAATTCATTGTTCGTCGTAAATTGTTCTATCTATCGTTTATTATATACGTTATATATATATATAACGTCCGTTATGTTAGAACGAAGAACGAGGAAACGAGACTATATTACTTATTAGAAAATAAACAATGTTACAAAAGCATTTGAGTAGTTTATAGACTTTGCTCACAATTAGCATTACTTTATTAACCGTTTGCACTCGAGTGGCGACACTAGGGCGCCATTAAAAATTGTTATTTTCAATTTAAATTCAATTTCATACGTACAAGATGTCTCGACTGCAAAGGGATAATCTGTTTTATTACAAATAAAATAAAAACAGAAATATTTTAGTTCTATCTTGCGACAACTCCTCGCTCAGAGTTCCGCTAAATTAAATTGTCCGCGCACGCACGTTTTCTTCCTTCTTTGTTCTTAAACGAACCGTAAAGTAGGCGGTCGACGACGATCCGTTTCTAGAAGAACGTTCGCGCACAGATTTTGCCCACTGACCGAAAGATGTTTTTTACTCTCCTTTAGAACCGTGAAGATGGATCATCAGCAAACGGGTCGGAAGCAGGCGGCGAATTCGCCGGAAGTGGCAATGGCGAACGAGGTGTTCAATCTGTTTTGCAGCGCGACCACCCTGAAGACGATCCTCGGCCACTTCCGACACCTGTGCGATCTGCTGAAGATCAGATCGAACACGATCACCCAGTTCTACCCGAAGCTGAAGGGAAAGCTGCGATCGTGGAAGGCGCAGGCCCTGTGGAAGAAGTTCGATCAGAGGGCGAACCATAAGTGTTACAATCGCGGCAAAGCGTGTCCCAACACCAGGGTACCGATTTTTCTTTGTCTTCTCTCATTTCGACGGATCGGTTGGTAAAAAGGATATTTAACCAAGCGTCGTTTCAGGTGTTGATCATCGGAGGTGGACCTTGCGGGCTTCGCTCGGCCATAGAGGCGCAGCTGTTGGGTGCAAAAGTGGTGGTCGTGGAGAAGAGAGACCGGATGTCCAGGAACAACGTGCTCCATCTTTGGCCGTTCGTCATACAGGACCTCCGTGGTCTAGGGGCGAAGAAATTCTTCGGGAAATTCTGCGCCGGATCGATCGATCACATCAGCATCCGTCAGCTTCAGTGTATCTTGCTCAAAGTCGCTTTGATCCTAGGCGTCGAGTTCCACGAGAGCGTGAGCTTCGATTCTCTGATACCGCCGCCGGAAAACCAGGAAGATGGCAGTGAGTAGCCGAGCCCCGTGTGTCCCAGGGATCCTTTTATCGAGCGGTCTTTCTTTGCAGAAATCGGCTGGAGAGCGAAAACAACGCCCGCGGATCATCCGGTTTCCCAGTACGAGTTCGACGTGTTGATCGGCGCGGACGGCAAGCGGAACACGCTCGAAGGTTTCAAGCGGAAAGAGTTCAGGGGGAAGCTGGCGATCGCCATAACGGCGAATTTCATCAACAAACGGACCGAGGCGGAGGCTCGCGTGGAGGAGATCAGCGGCGTGGCTTTCATCTTCAATCAGAAGTTCTTCAAAGAACTGTACCAGGAGACCGGCATCGACCTGGAGAACATCGTGTATTACAAGGACGATACACACTATTTCGTGATGACCGCGAAGAAGCACAGCTTGATCGACAAAGGAGTCATTCTGCAGGTATCGACGTCTCAATGGTTCTAGAAAAAGAAAGATAAAGCGAACGATAGAAGCTCGATCGAAACGGTATTCCCATGCAATAACGATGTCGCGATATATCATTAGGATCACGCGGACACTGCCAAATTGCTCGCCAAAGAGAACGTGGACCGCGAGGCGTTGATGCTTTACGCTCGCGAGGCAGCCGAATTCTCGACGGAATACCAAATGATGGATATGGAATTCGCAGTGAATCATTACGGGCAACCAGACGTGGCCATGTTCGATTTCACGTCGATGTACGCGGCGGAGAATGCCAGTCGGATTTTGGAGCGTCGCGGTCATCGATTGCTCATGATCCTTGTCGGCGACAGCCTGCTGGAGGTATGCGCGATCGCGTTTCCTGAAAACTTTTTCCTGAAACAGCAGCGGCGACTGCCGCGTTCGACGAATGCTCCGTTTAGGTAATCGGTGATTAAATGAAAATGTGTTGCAGCCATTTTGGCCGACGGGCTCCGGCTGCGCGAGGGGATTTTTGAGCTCGTTGGACGCCTGCTGGGCGATCAAGCAATGGGGCTCCGCGATGTCGCCCCTAGAAGTGATCGGAGAAAGAGAATCTATCTATAGACTGCTCGGACAGACCACTCCGGAAAACTTGAATAGAGACTACGCCGCGTACACTCTGGACCCGCACACCAGGTACAACGCGGTACAGTAATGTCTCTCTAATTGACGCTCGGATTGTCCACAAAAGTGGACAATTTAGGGAGAAGAGAGACGATTATTCCATCCTCGCGGTTCATTTTTATAGTCATGAATTGTTAACTATAAAAACGAGCTGCAAGGCTCGAGTAATCGAGTAATCAACTCTTCCAAAATTGTCCATTTTTGTGGACAATCTGGGAAGAGGCGATATGATTATTCGAGCCTTGCGGTTTGTTTTCAAAATTACGAATTGTTAACTATAAAAACGAGCTGCAAGGCACAAATAATCGTATCTCCTCTTCCCAAATTGTCCATTTTTGTGCACAATCTGAGTGTCAGTTAGGGAGACATCACTGTACTTTTGAGATCTCTTGTACACTTAGACTGGTCATCTTTGACTGTATTGTGGACGAGTTACAAATGGTCTTGAAATCTCAGGGAGTACGCGTGTACGGTATCGATCGCTTTCTTTGTAAATTCCCACCACGAAAACCAGATAATCCCCTTCTGGAAGTTTTCGTTCGCAAAATTGTACAATCGAAGAAAGCAATTGATAAAACTGATATTTCGTCTACACCGATCCAACGATTTTTCTTCCTCGACGTCGGATAATTTTGTTCTCGTTATCAATCGTAATTGAATTTTCTTTAAGATACCCAAATCTGAATGTATCCTCTGTAACGCCGATACAAGTGCGAAGTCTCCTCGACACGGACGATCCTGACAGCACCAAACAGCTTCCGCTACCGTCTGACGTCGATATTCCTAAGAAACGCCGACGTCGCGGTGAGTCTCGAAAATCATTCGATTATGATACAATGATAAGGCGATCCATCATCGTTTATACATTTGGAATATTTTATATATATATATATATATATAATTAATATTATATATATATATTAATATTACGAATATATTACGATATATATATATATAATATTATTATTTAATATATTATATTATAATAATATTGTATAATATAATATAATATATATATAATTATATAATATATAATTAATATTATATATATATATTAATATTACGAATATATTACGATATATATATATATAATATTATTATTTAATATATTATATTATAATAATATTGTATAATATAATATAATATATATATAATTATATAATATATAATTAATATTATATATATATATTAATATTACGAATATATTACGACTGTTCAACAGATCTCCATGGAGATTCCCAAATCCATCCGGACATGTTGCTCCGCTGGCTGCAAAAGCAGGTAGCTTTCTACGACTCGGTCAAGATTCAAGACATGGGCGTCTCGTTCAAAAACGGGCTGGCCATTTGCGCGATTATCCACAGATATCGTCCGAATTTGATCGATTTCCATAGCTTGCAACCGGAAGACGTGGAAAAGAATAACCAGCTGGCCTTCGATATACTTGAAAAAGAGTTGGGCATACCGCCGGTTAGTTGTTCTAGAAAATTTCACTCTGCCGCCAAAGATCCAAACTCGATTCAAATTCGTTAACGTTGTCTTATGTTTTCAGGTAATGACCGGAGAAGAGATGGCTGAATGCGACGTTCCCGACAAGCTCGCCATGTTCTCCTATCTGACACAGATATACGACGTCTTCCGCGGTGAAATTCCTTACGTCAAACATCCGAAATTCGTAAGTGTTCTGCCAGAACGCTTCCAAGCGTGTTTGGTAAATAGATCACTTAGAGTGGAGAATGTTTTATAGTGTTCGTTGTCGCGTCCCGATTATCTTGGAAAGAAGTATCCCAGTTCTAAAATGACCAATTCTGCGACGAATAAAAATCCTTGTACTCGATCCGCGAGCTCCGTTCTCGCATCGAATTCTCGTGCAACGATCGGTTTCCTAGATTATAATAACAATCCGACATCGTCGAGTTGGTCCGGAAACAGCTGAATACGAAACAAAGTTGAACCGTTGAAGAGAATGTTGAAATTCGTCGATGATAACCGTATAGTGTATCACGTGGAAGATAGAGAAGTCGATGAATCAGTAATCTCGTTGAGATATGCATACGTTTTTCCCAACGTCTTCGTTTTAACGAAATGTTTTGTGTTTGCCAAAGGAGCCGGAGAACGAGGAAAGGCCATCTCACAGCAAACAATTGAGCCAAATGACGCCCGATCAAAAAGTCCAGTTGCTCGAACGAATTGCCAGTCGTGAGCGAGAAGAGGGCGGAACGAGAACGAGACATTCGCGATCGAGACACAACGAAAACTTGAACCCCGCTGACAAAAAGGAAACTATCAGTCGACGGTCTCGGAAGAGACGCAGCACGGAGAAGATGGGCGCGACCGTTGTAAGTTCTCGCTTTTGTGTTTCTTTTTCTATTAATATTGTACGCATAATAACAGAGACGTTCGAGATATCGACTGTTTGTCTATCAATTTTTTAATCATACGTTTTTTTCGAGGCTTTTAGTTAGCAGGCTATCAAAGGTTAGCGCGTTCTTGTACCATTTAACCCATTCGGCCGAAGATAATTCGACAAACTGGAAATCAAAGCGAACAACAGATGCGCGTGAAAATTTGTTTGTTCGATGGAACAAATAGAAAGCGACCGGATCGGTTAAATTTAATATCAACCCTTTGCACTGATAATTTGATATATTTCTTTTTGAAATTTTTATAGACGACCGATGATTTATATTTCGATGCAAAGGGTTGCTTCGCGAATTCAACCCCTTATACGATACAGATATATAAGTGGTTGAAAAATCGACCACTAACGTGTTTCACATACATACACTTACACGAAACTTGAAATGCTTATATTCTATATAGTCACGCTGGCAGAAGATTAAACCAATTATTTATTCTGGGATAATCATATCGTCAATCGTGTTTATTGGATTTACCATAACCATGGCGCAGAAGGAATTCATTGCATTCTAATCGCTTCGCATAGATCGGCGAATGTAACAGTGGAACATTGCGAATACGTATCGGTTATGTTGACAACTTTTTCTATCTATGTCTCTTTATATTTATGTTGTAATATACTTGCCACGCAAGCTTCCGTATTTGTCCTATTTACTAAAAAGAAAAAAAAAACAAAAAAAGAAACTAGATCGAACTGAGACGAAAAAAATAATAAATTAGGCCCAAATAGATTGTAGTAGAGTTCCTGTAGTTGGTTGAGTAAGTAGAGTAGATAATCGTAAAGTCGAAGTAATGTTTAACCTTCTCGTGTAAGAGAGAAAAAACGAGAAAGACCGATTCTTCTATTTTTTACCCTTTTATGTGACTTATGTGATCGTACGAGTTTTTAAGAGAGAGAGAGAGAGAGAGGGAGAGAGAGAAAGAGAGCGAGAGTACCGAACCTTCTAATGTGAAACGGTGTGTTGCAATTAATTAAGAATTTTTGAGAATTAGTTGCCTTGGAAACTAGAGCTTCGAACTTCGTTGAAAGCAGACGGGGACGAGAGATTAATCGGACGATATTTTTCTCACGTTCTCGCGATGCAACGCGTTAAAGGAGGAAAGGCAGAAGAGACTGGCCGATATCGAAAAGAATCGTGCTGATCGCATGCGAAGACGACAATATTTGCGAAAGATGGCGACGCAGCAATTCTACAAAAGTGTGCAGATGCTGCAGGCGAACGCGAAACGCGAGAAAGACGAGCCGTTCGAAGATTATTCGATATTCTTGTACCGTCAAACTGCGCCGGATTTCAAGGATAGAGTGAAATACCTTGAACAGAAAATATTATACCCAGTAAGCCAGAGATACCGAACGATGATTATTTCGGAGTGTAACTTAATGCACTTTTGCTCCTCTTAACAAACAGTTTTGTGAATTAAACTATCGTTGGTTCGACTATCCGACGGTGGACCGTGTAATAATTATTGTATGCGAATGATTTCGGCATGTGCTGCTCATTTACATACTAATCGATTCGAATATTACTCTTCGGTGAAAATTCAAGAGAAGCGTGTTTAATACTAACAATACGATACGGAAGAAGAATAAAAAAAACAACAAAGGCAACAGATGAGAATTTCGTGCATGCGATCGATATAGGGTGGATGTCCCAATTTCCGTGCCCCCGGATTAAAAATGTATAGAAAAAGAAAAGTTTTATAAATTGATACCTCTCCCTGAATCTCACATGTCGATAAGTAAACATAATAAAAAAATGTAGATCATTTATGTATAAACCTTTTCTTTTTCCATACGTTTTTAATCCAGGGGCACGGTTAAATTACAAGAGGCACGGAAATTGGGACATATCTACCCTGTTACAATAATATTGTATAAGTTTGACGGCTACAAANAACATATCATATTTTTGTATTAAAAAATAAACAAAATAAAAGGAGAAGAAAAATTTAACACGTCTTATTCGATAACAATAAAGTTAATTATGCCACCAAAAAAAAAACAAAGGCGCAACAATAAATCACCACACAGTAACCGATTCCACTATATCCTAACTCGAAAACAACAAATAACATTTAGATATAAATTAACAACGAATTCACAGTTTCAAAGAAAATTAAATTAACTCCGGTATGTGGAACTGAGAGGTGAAGGCTGAAGGTGAAATTAGATTAAAAAACGACAACAAAGTTACACGGAGCTACAAAGAGTTAAGACAAAAGTAGGGTAGATGTCCCAGTTTTCGTGCCTGTCCCAGTTTCCGTGCCCCCGGATTAAAAATGTATAGAAAAAGAAAAGTTTTATAAATTGATACCTCTCCCTGAATCTCACATGTCGATAAGTAAACATAATAAAAAAATGTAGATCATTTATGTATAAACCTTTTCTTTTTCCATACGTTTTTAATCCAGGGGCACGGTTAAATTACAAGAGGCACGGAAATTGGGACATATCTACCCTGTTACAATAATATTGTATAAGTTTGACGGCTACAAAATTATACTACTAACCGGTTTTGTTGAAAGAGATAACACTTATACTGTGAACGATTTTTGTATCAATTTTCATAGTCGGACTACCGCTTTTGTATAGTCTTACGAAAGCTCTATTACATTTTGTACACATTTGAAACTGGTTACTACTACTCTTATAGTTTTTATTACGCTACTCTACACTAACATTAAAATAATGAATTGAAAAGAACGTAAACATGAAACGTTGATGCTCCGTTTGTACGCTTCCTATTACAAAGTTTGTTGAATTTGTAATTGTTCGATATCGCATACGCATCCGATTCATCTTATACCGTAAATTTCTTTTAGGACAGAGAACCCAAGATACATGCTGGTCATCGTAGAAATAGCATAGACGAAGAGTTCTCCGGGAGAATAAAAAATATCGAGGACAAATTGAAGGGTTCTGGACCGTCCGAGAAGAAACCGAGGGATCTTCTACGCGCAATTGGTTTGTTTTACTAGCTCGCATTAATTTGTAACGAACTGAAAATTATCAATTTATAAAAGACAAGCTTCGTCGGTCGGTTATTTGGAATAAACATTTTGGAAAATTTGAATGAAGGCAAGATCGAGAAAACTGACTGGAACGTGAAGGAGATCGAAAAGAAAATCGAAGAGAGTAAAATGGGTCGATCGGTACGGCACGAAAAAGTAGAACGGGTGCCAAAATGGAGTCGAGAACAGGTTGGCATATAAAAGATTAACAAACGACGATAGCCAACGCCTTTTCAGATGTGTATATGCTTGATTCAGTTTTTAGCTCGACAAATCAAGATGGAGAAGAAGGGGCGTGATCAGAAGGAGTCAGATAGTAAGTACGCTGATATTGACAATACCCTGAAGAATATAGACAAGAAGATCAAAGAGGGTAATGTGCTCGGGTACAATAAAGTCTCGGCTATGGCCGAACAATTTTCGAATAAAAGTCAGGACGCGGAGCCCAAGGTGCAGAAATCGGTAAATAAGATACTACAGAATCTCTCAATACTCGAAGAATCTAGTCAGCAAGGTGTTCGAACGTGTCACGTTCGTTTCTTGTTTCGTACTGTACCGTTCTAGTTGGAGAAACTTTTGTGTACCCGTCTACCTATAAACACGATCAACGTGTAAAGTATTTCAAGATTTTGTGTCACTTAAATTGTCCGCAACTAAACGTTTCACTAAACTCTCTAAACTCGTTTTACTAATCGCATTGATACTACAGTAAGATTCGTAACTTCTAATCGTATAATACATACATACGTGCTGGCTACAATTTTGTTGTATTGACGATGTCGAATTAACAATTACTACGTCATTTAAAACTGTCCTTACAGAACGTTAAGCCTACTGTAACGTTGCCTGCTCAAGGAGGTTCGGAGATGTGTCATTTCTGCAACAAAAGAGTTTACTTGATGGAGAGACTAACCGCCGAAGGGAAATTCTTCCATAGAGGCTGTTTCCGTTGCGAATACTGTTCTACCTCGTTAAGAATAGGTCCGTTGCATCCCTCTAGTACCGGATAGCTCCGAACCACTACTGTGATCGCTTCAATTTGATGGTTTGTAGGAAATCACACGTTCGACAGAGAAAAAAATGGCGGGAGATTCTATTGTACGCAACACTTTGGTTTTCCGGGGACGATAAAAGCTCGCGTAGAGAAGAAGAGGCTCACTTCGTTGAACAAAGAAAACATACCCCTCGCATCTATAAATGTAAAAACACCGGAAAAGGTAGAACTCGTACTTCGATCGTTTGAACGCATTAGTATAGATTGTGAACAATTTTGTATATATCTAGGCAAAAACGCCTTTGGAGGGCGTCGTTGGGCTCGATTTGCTCGACCGTGGTCAAACACCCGAGAGAATAGAATTTGAAAATTTGGCGGGCATATCGGACGCCGAAGAACCGCAAAGTCAAATGGACGAAGACGAATGGACGGATAGAAATTTCGGTGCGTCCACTGCGGAAATGGGTTCTAGCGACGATATATCGGATATGAGGTGAGTTGTAACTTATTCGCTTAAATATCCTTATCAACTTATTTCTATTAATTTGACAGCGACTCGGAGGATGATAACGAAGTATACGAAGAAGCGATAGATCAGCCCTTGACGACCGAAGGAACCCTTGAGCTCGCCAAAAATTGGACGTTACGGTATTCTCATCCTCATGCTGCAATGGGACAATCGGATACGGGCAGCAATGAGTACGAAGACTCTAGCAACGAATACACGAACGAAGGTATTATTATGTATAAATTAAGTTTTATCGGTAGAACTTCAAGGAATATCGTCGCAATTGTTTTTAATTTTTAGACCCTCGTCCTCCAAGATGAAGTTTACAAGATAAGAATTTGTTTATGATTTTCATTATCAAAGAATTACATTTTCAATTGTAGGAGATTACTGCGATAAATCGAAGCTTCTAAATTATAATGAAAAATATTCGTAGACTCTGATTCCGCATTTTTGTTCAGATGAGGAGAGTACTACGGCGACGGAAGATGAAGAGGACATACGCGCTCGAGAACTTAGGAAGCAAGAAGTATGGTTGAAGCATCCTACTCGCAGTTCCGACACGGATTCTGGTTCGGAAACGGAGGTGAAAATTTCTCAAGATTCTGTAGATAGTATAACTAAAGAGTCACTTGTACTCCCTGAATCTGTTTCCGTGCAAATTCCTGATTCGATCTCGTCCCAGGAGAAGCGTGCAAACAATAGTGAAATTGTAATTAATCAAAACGTGATTGGCACAGAAAATGTTCAAAGCTTATCGAATGCAGAAGCATTAAAGACCGATGCATCTATCACAAATACAAACCAACAGATAGAAAATGTACTCGAAAGTGAAGCATGTGGAAGCGTAATTTCAGTTCCTGATTCCCCACTTAATATAACTCCAGATACAGTGACTGATAACACTACTAAATCAGGTACTCCTTTCAATCAATCTGTTAATCAGAGTAATATCTCCAAATCCAGTAATACAGAAAGCGATCGTTTGAAATACGAAAGTTTAAAGGAAGAAAATATTTCTTCAAATATAAATTCAACTCTGACAATTATAAACGATAACAATAGCGGTCAATTATGTAAAATAATAATTTCCGACACTGAACCGTTAGGTAAACCAGAATTTATGGATAACGAGTCGCACCAAAAAATAATTTCTGTCGATAACAAATTAAATAATACTGTAACCCCTGATTTAGATGTTACAATTCCTGATGCAAGTAATATATTAGATACCGAACTGCAAACAGAGTTTGCAGGAATTATGCTTCCAGATGCTATTCCATTTAGTCAGGCTAATTATGATAGTGCAATGCAACCTGACGCCGAAGAGGGTACCTCCTTCGCAGAGAAACTTCCAGATCTGGTAACTTCCTTTTCAAAACGCAGTAGAGAATCGTCACCGTCATCTTCGTCCGATATTTATAACTCTACCGAAACAATGTACGAGGAATTATGTGTATCCGATGCTCTAGCCAAAGCTACGGAGGAATTAGAATCGGATGACGTCAAAGAATTAGAAAGTGACACGTTGAAGAAAAAATATAGCGATTTGAAGCTATCCATAATGGGTCCTGAGCAAATCCCAATTGTAACCATTACTTCACCGTCTCCAACGAATGAAAAACCATTGGAACAAGCATCCATTGAAGTCGCTAAATTAAGAGTTCCTAAAGAAATTCGACCCCAATCGGTACAATCCGATGGAAATAGTTCATTCGATAAGCTGAAACGTGACTTGAGACAAAGGAAGGCGAAGAATAAGATTACCGTGGGCGAGCTTCGGCTATTATCCAAAGAAAATGCTCAACAAAAGATGAATAAATATTTTCATAAAGCGAAGAAAGATAGCACAAAAAGGCCGAATGTAAAAAACACAACGGAGAAGACAATCGACGACGTTGCAGTTGTCGAATTAGATATTAAACCAAAATTATCTACAAAAGTTGAAGCAAAGGACATAATGAAATATTTTCAGAGGTCTACGAATGAATCACTTGATAGATCAGAAAGCGATAATGACAACGAATTCGGGGATTCCAGTAACACGAAACAATCTGAAAATGAATGTGACAAAAGCGAGAGCATCGATGACAACGATATCGATGCTATCGCTAAACAGTTTAACCAAATAGAATTGCAGAGCGAAGAAGTACTTCCGATTGACGTTGAAGACTTGAAGTTTGCATTAAACTTTGATGTTTACCCTGAGATATTGCATTTAGAAAACAGAGATTCGCACGATAATATAGAAGCAACACATAAATTTGAAAACTCACCTAAAATTATGAAAAGTGACGTTGATAGAGATACATCTCGAACGCAGTCTTTGGAAGAGACCGACACGAATGCAGCAAGTAATATTTTAGACAAGCAATTATGTATGGAGGAGCCAAACATTACAATGTTGTTTCCAGAATTTGACAATTTGGCTTCGAGAAAGTTCGTAACCGACTCGAAAGAAGAAACGCTAGTATCACAATATGAGACAATAATCGTATCGCCTCAAATTAACAGTAACATTCTAGAAAGTAAGTCGCTTCCAGATGAAAAAGATATGTCCGTTGAATGTCATGATAAAGTACATATTAGTGTAACGCAACCGATATTAACACCACGACGTAAGAATAATGTTTTAGAAGGTATATTGGACACAGATAAGAGGAACGCTGTAGCTAAATCGCATGAAAATATTGGAATTAACGGAATTCAAGCAACGTTAAGCCCACAACTCAACAGAGTAAAGTTAACGGATGTTAACAACAAGCATAATTTATATGCAAGCGACGGCAACTTGAACAGAACCAAAGATGTTGCAAATAAAATTAAAGAATTACGTAAAGATCACCATAGCTCTTATGAACTAGCAAATCTTTCACCGAGGTTTGATACAATTTCAAAAGTTAAGGTTGTAGAACAAAATGTGGAAGGTTTGAAGAAGGTGGATAAAATAAATATAGGCAATAATACAAATTCGTTGAACTCGTTGAACGAAACTCCGAAAAAACCAGAAAGAAAACATACACCACATGGATTCAGTTCTCTCGTGAATTTGAGTTCTTCGAATGCCTTATCTGCACCTGAAGTACCTGTGAGAAAAAGATCTGCGAAGAAAAATGTTAATGTTGTATCTGCTTCGGAAGAAACAGCTTCCAATGTGCAGCTGTTTTTCGCTCCGTCGAACGAAAGATTAACTATACCAAATATTTCTACCGATAAACACAAAGAACAAGCAAGTGACATTAGGCAAACACCGAAACGTATTGATAATTGCAGCAACACAAGTTATAATTCAAATGCGTTAGGAAATAGTTCTATGGAACAGAAATGTTCTTATTCCACGATATCTTCACCATCAATTAAACCTAATCAGCGTGAATTTACCAAATCTGTACCTCCTAAGAATGATAGATCTAGAAAAGATAAATGCGTAGTGTCGTAACATATACATACATACATACACATATACATATATATTCTAATTTGTATAATGTATACGATTATTTCGAGCACGAAGAAGAAATCTATAAGCGCGATTGTTATATCTTCGTGAAAATGTATTTTTCAGTTTTATGATTTACATTTAAAGAAATGCTGTGAGATACGTTAATAAAGTAAACTTAGATATTACTTATAGTTGGCTGATGGTGATACATGTATTTTTTCCAAAAAAAATGTACCCAAGGCCATTGAAGGAAAGGTAAAGCATTTTTATATATAACTAGAGTGACATTTATTCGACTAATTATGAATTAACAGTGACTCAAACCAATTAATCGTTTGTGCTTTGTTTAGTGTTTATGCTAAAACTGGTAACGTAACTGACCGAATTTCTATTAATTCTGAAATTACCACCAGCCAATACTTTATTAAACAATCTCACTCGATCATCTTGAAAAAAAAAATACAAAGTCACCATCACGATCCATATCGCAGTAAAAAAGTGTGAGTGATTATAAATTAGGGGCATCGCATACTTTTCTTTTAGTACATTCATGTAAAACTCACAACTCATTCATTAATCTGATATTGTCTCTCTGTTTTGTTAAGTTCTAAAATGTGTTAAACGTCAAAATTTGTTTACGCAGAACGCTACCCCGATAGAAAGAATGCAGTCTGTTCTCCACCATTTTTTATTTGGTCTTTCACTAATCTACTAAAAGTACATTTCTGTTTTGCTGTAACACCCAAAGTGTTTACGCCTATAATGCCACCTTCATTTACTAAAAACGATACATTTCTCTACAGGTTGCCTCGAATGATGGAACGTCTGAAGAGAGCGAGGAGAACTCAGCCACAGAAATATCAACAGACTCTGAATTCGAGCACGATGGAGCGACTCCAACCCAACACGAGATTCCAGAGATCACAATTAACGATTCTTACATTAGGAAAACCAGAGGAAATTACGTAGAACCGAGGAGGGTTCAAGTGAAAAGCAAAGTTATATCGTCGATCAATGGAAATTTGAAACAGGCCGCTGAGACAAATTTGAAATCGCAGCTAAAAACGACGAACCACCCTGTGAATTCTTCTCATCCGGAGAAGGAAAGTAACTCGAACTTATTGGGGTCCAATAACGCAAATCGAGTTCCGCTAATAAATCCAAGAAAAGGGGACTACTTGTTGAACCGAACACATTCAACAGAGTGTATCGCCTCGAAGTTGTCTTTGGAATTGAAAAAGAAATATTTACTTGGTGGGTCGGCTTTCGGTGGATCCGTCATGAAATCTGGATCGGCGTCGAACGTCGATACACAGTTGCGGAATCTGACAGATGCCATTTCCCAACACCAGAAACTCCTGAACCCAGCTCCCGAACCAAGCCCAACGATGCAAGCATTTTTACAAGGAACTAGCAAACTAAGGTCTAACAATACGCAACTGTCTCCGATATCCCCCACAGCTGTATTTTCTTCTAGCACTGTACGACCGTATACAGTCAATTCTTCGACTCAGCATTTGCTGAATAACGACAACCCCATTTACAAGGCAACAATTTTGCCAGAAATCTCGAAAATCCAGTTGCCGGATTTGGTGAAAGAGTCTAGCATTCTGAAGTCGAAAACTGCCCCCAATATTGTCTGCAGCGAGTCGAAAAATGTAACAGAGAAGGAGCTTCAGAAGGAGCAAGTTGTACCTAGTCAAGTTAAAAGTACTGCAATTTTAGAGAACGTGAAAAATTCGCAAATTATAGATAATAATTTCACAGGGAGTACAGAAGAGAACAATGGTTTTAGGCCGCGTAGCCCATTGCACGAAACGTCGATTATTGTGCCCCAAGTGAACTGGAATAAAAACAAGGAAGAAACGAAAGATGCAGCTAGCACCGGCGACTCGGAGATAGACAGCGACTCGTTGTCTTCTAGCGACGAAGCGGAAGAAGAGACGAAGAGTCAGCAAGTGGTTGCCATGAATCTGTCTCCTCCACGATTGCAAATTCATAGCACGGACGGAGATCTGCTATTGGACGAAGAAGCTGACAAGTGCAAAGATTTCGATGACGGTCAGTCGTTCGAACCTGACTCTATAGAATGTTCCCTATTACGAGAGAAAGAATTGAATCAAAAAACAAATGCTCGCGACACTGTTCCTTGTGCGAATAAGACGTCCGTTGAACTGGAAATAGTGAAAAACGAGATTGAACAGTTAGAGTTGCAAGATGACGGCAAGAAAGGCTTTAGCAATTGCAGTAGTCCGATATCAGTGGCCTCTACTATATCCAATAAATGCGACGATTCCGAGGAGAATGATGTCACTACGGCAGCACTCACTGAAACCGAGTTCTCGGAATGGGCTCGAGATGGAGAAGTTTTAGCTTCGGATGATCTACGAGATGCAGAATTCAACATTAATCCAGAATTTATCACCACTAGGAAAACATTATCGAACTCTACAAAATTAAATTACGCTCCAATCACGATAGCTAAGGAGGAAGACTTGACAGATATGGACTTGGATTCCTTTAAAATCGACAAGAAACAAAGTATACCGGTCAACAACACTTCTCAACTTTTGGCAAATGGTGAAAACATAGATTTTATGGATACGGATAATGATTCCTTATTGGACGATAGTCTACGGGATGCGTCCAATATGGTTATGCTCAAGAACAGAGGATACGTTGAGTTTGTGAATATTAAAAGCACTCCGGCACGTACAAGCTCCGAAGATAAACTGACCGCTGATGCTCCCATAGCGAAATTGGAAATGGAGAATGACTCGTATTCGGAAGAGGAAGGTTACGATGACAGAAATGTCATAGAGATAAACCCGGTCACTATGGACGATGTCATGAACAAGCTAAACAGTACAATAAATAAATCGGAAGATGAAGTTCAGGTGAACGCAAACTCAAAATTAAACAGCGAACAAGATCAACTCATTACGGAAGCAACGAACAAAGAAATGTATCCTTCGATGGAAGAAGATAGCCTGCTCATCGTTGAACCAGCCGAAGATACTACCACTAGCGAAGTGATTACAATCCTTGCCAGCCCAGTTAATCCACAAGTGTCGATAGTATCAAATTTACATTCTCAGTCGCAACATGTTCAGACGCAAGGACCGGCAAATCAGGAAGAACAAACAAAACCGTTAGCAGATTCCAGCAATCCAGATTATTTGGAATACGTAAAGCGTCTACAGTCTAGAATCGCAGAGTTTAGCAACGCGAAAGACTCTATAGATGTCAGGAAATCGAAGAGAAAGAATTCGAAGTGTTCCATACAATCTCGTACGGCTGAAATGATAGCGGAAGAGATCAAGAGTCAGGAAGCCGTAGTGAACAACAGTTTCAATTCTCCAGTTACCTCTAGAAAATTGGAAGAAATTACTAGAGAAAGGTTCAAGCAAAAGAACGTAATACAGGATTTATTAATGGATAAACTGGAAGCGCACAAACAGAAATCTGCGGAAAAGAAAGCAAGAAGAGCTGCCAGAGCCTCCTCGTTCAATTCTACACCTGGTCTATCACCTATAAAGCCGCCTCTTCCTAGCGGTTCTTCGGTTAGTAAATTTATACCTAGTTCGATCGGAACACCAACGAGCAGTCCACTGCGAACCACTTGTACCGAAACGGACAAATTATCGTCGAAGACTGCAATAACTGGGGAATCTCGACGATATTTATGGAAGTTGGACAATGAAACGGATAAAAATATTGAGAAAAATATCGACGATGTTGAATCGGTAGGCGAATCGGTATATAACGAAACAGAGAATGCTTTTAAAACACCAGTAGCCCCGCCCAGATTGAAGCACGAGGAAGCGAAAAGAACCGCTGAGAAAGCAAGGCAAGATGCTAGAGAACGAGCTAGAATGATGAGCGACGAAGATCTAGGTCTCAGTCCAGAAGACAAGATGAAACAATTAAGAATGAAAATGGCACGGAGGCAACTGTCTATGGAAGAGAAAAAAAGTAAAGAGGAAACACAAGTGGGACCTCGTGCCAGGCTTTACGATGCTGGAGTACAAAAAACTGGTTTGAAATTACAGACAAGTAAAAGTACAGACAATATGAAAGCTGTTGCAGAAGCAATAAACTTTGGAGGATTGTGCGCTACCAATGCAAAATCGATGGACGAGTTGTTGCGTGCTGGTGAATCTCTAAAATCTGACAATTCTATAGTAGTCGTGAAAAGAGATAAAAAACAAAAGTCGAAAGACCCGGAACGAAGAAAGAGTATCATTCAAGCGGTATCAGACTTTTTCTTCAAAAAGGATACTTCTCAGTCACCGACCAATCAAAAAGACAAGTTGTCTATGTTCCGTCTGACCACTAAATCGAAAGGCAAAGTATGTACACAGTCTTCTTTTCACTCTGTACTTTCGAAATCTCTTCTGCTGTTCAGAAAGTATATGTCTCTGAATTTCTTCCAACTAATTAGATTCTAAAATGTTTCAGTTATGTAAATCGTATTCGGAAGGGTCTGATGTAAGCAACTCATAAGTCATTGATACTAATTTTTCCAGTATTAGCTTTCTTATGCCACTATTTGTATTCGCTATTGTATATCGTGCAGGTACTATGATTTTATTTTTCTTTTGCTGCACTTTATCGTCCGCTTTCAAGGGGTAACTTACTGTTTGGAGTACGAGCTGTGATCAATTTTATTTTCAATGTACAGTTATTAAATTCCTCTAGAGTAACAGTCTTCCCTATAAAAAAAAGCATGTTATCGATTGCATATATATATATATAATTGTTATTTTGTTTATTTGTCTTTTTAATGCGCTTTGTAAAATGTATTTAACATTAGTTTTGGATTTCAATCATAAGAGAACGTTATTTAACAACAAATTTCTAGGTATTTATAACAAATCAAATTTCCTTTTGTTGGGTACGAAAAACTTTCATATTTGTTCTTGATATTATGTGTATGTGTATGTATGTGTGTCTTATAACTGCATTAACTATACAAGTTAGAGCTTCGACTTTTATTACAAATTTTCACAGTTTTTTTCAGTGTCTTCCTTTATAATTTTCAATGTTAATCGATTAATTTTAATGTCAAAGCAACATATAATTCCAAAAATGCGTTTTCCTTACACTACACCGAAGTTAATTTTTAAAAAAATACCACTACAGTAAGTTGTTTTTTCCAGCTTGATAAAGTTACACCGCCAAAGATTAGTACAAGACCAAAAAGTGTATGTGAAGGAATGTTAGCGAGGAAGTTTCTAAATGAAAATCCACCGCCAATTCCACCACCTCCACTTAACTACACTATTCCTACTACATACGTATCAGGTATATTAATCTTGTTAAATAATTGTATAACAATTTTCATCGTTGCAATTTAGAGGTGGTAGGAAAAACATTATACAGTAAATGCTAAATTATATTTAACAGATGATAGTTTATCAGAAGACGACACAAAAACAACAGCAGTATCTACATCGTGCATGCTGAAGGCCACTGTAACCGAAGGATCATGTAATAGCGTTTCTCGAAAATCAAAAACTACAAAACGGATAGCTAGGCAAGCACAATTAAAAAGGTAATGCAGTTGATAAAATCAAATGATAATTTGATATACAAATTATATAATAATCTATAATACCTTATAGATTACGAATGGCTCAAGAAATTCAAAGGAAATTAGAAGAGACTGAAGTTAAACAAAGGGAACTAGAAAGCAGAGGGGTCAGCGTAGAAAAAGCTTTGCGCGGAGAAGGAGGTAAAATTAGACATTATTAATAGACTGCGAATCTTTATGCAAATTCCCATTTTACTATGGTCATTCTACGATAATAAAAATGTAGCAAACTTGCTACATTCAGAATTTTCTTATGGTCAAGATAAACAAAAAATTTGTAATCTTATTATTAATATTCGCTAATGTACATGTTTTCTTATATTCTACAGTACAAACATGTGTGTTTTACAACTGCATAAAGATCCTCGGTCCAATTATCAAACCAATTCATATTTTCATGCAGATACTTAAAAATAAAACTTACGCTTTACATAGAATGTTCCGATCGAGAAGAAGCAGATCTGCTCACCGAATGGTTTGACTTAATGAAAGAACGAACCGAACTTCGTAGATACGAGAAAGAACTTTTAGTACGAGCTCAGGAGGTCCAGCTTGAAGACCGCCATGACAGACTACAACAAGAACTACGGGAACGCTTAGCTGACGATGGTTAATACTTTTTTTTTCTCATTTTACTTTCACAACTGTGAAAAAATTAAATGTTGAACAACATTGCATACATTAATATGTTTTAAAATTACCCAGATGACAAGAAAACTAGCGACGATGTGAAGAAGGAAGGGGAAATTTTGACAGAAATGTTGGAAATAGTTGCGAAGAGGGATTCGCTCATCGCCCTTTTAGAGGAAGAGCGACGAAGGTGGTGTAAACCTACATGCCAAACAATTGTTCCCTTCCCCACACATACGACTGCCTGTTCCTCGCACGTACCTAATTTGTTCTTTTCTCATGACTCAAAAGCTACATCTTCTGTGCTCACATTACTAGTCATCTTACTTGCATACGTGTTCTTTGCTAACTTGATAGAATTGTTTGTTAATCTTTACAAAGAGCCTTTAATACTTTTCAAGTTATGATGCTTCGTTAAATCGCATCAGTCACCGCATATATTTCTGAATTTTTTGCATTTTCTTATCATAAGTGCAATGTTTTTAATCAATTTCAAGTTTTTAATGAATTTCGAATTAATTCACAGTGCAATACAATCTCTACTCGCTTTCTAATGTATACAGTACATGTGTTTCCTATTGAAACTAACGAACAAAATAGTGTTTTTTTTTTGTACAGTTCTTTTTTGTTTTATATTTACTGTTAAGTTTAGAATGCATGGCGTATGTAAAATATAACTATACAAAGCATGAATTATGAAGTACATTAAGTATAAAAAGCATGAATTTTTTATAAATTCCATTTACGCAGTTCAAACCGGAATCATGATCCAACTGCGCATGAAATTCCTGTATACACGATTTCTTTTTATTTTCTCTTATAAGTGTCTTCATTTTGCATCGTGATAGAGTGATGTGTTTACATACATGGCTGTATTGTGACGCCAATATAAAAATCATATTTTAATTGTACTAAAAATTATTTTTTAGTCATATACACACAGTTGAAAAGTATTTATAGCATCATTAGAATTATAGCAATGTAACTGATGTTAAATTTTTAATTATCCGTTAAAGGATACTCTGAGAGGAATAAAATATATTATTATATGTGTTTATGGTAATTATTCCCAAGGAACACCATATCACATTTTTTAGAACGTGTTTAGAGATAAACGATCGCTAAAAGTGTATACTTCATTATTTGAAAGAATAGAGAGATCTATCGAATACTTTTTTACGGACCCACACACCTAATTTAACTGTGATAATAAGATAGAACAAATTCTTAATAAATAATAATAACTTTTGTTGCATAACAGTTTATTTAAATGTTCTTTTTTTTTGCTTGTTCATTAATAAATAACAGAGACCTATCATCTGCACGAAATGAAAGGTGTTATCATTGCATCTTGTTTTAATATTTAGCAGTTAATAGATACATACTTTTCTTTTAGGTATCAAGACGAAGATCGCGACCTTGAAGCTCAAATGTTGGCTAAAGGCCTCAGATTAACTCCAATAAAAAAATGTGGTCCTAAGTATTCGGTTTAATAGGAAGCACATTAAATGTTGTACATAATACTCCATTCTCTATTTTCATTGATGAATTTTATCATTAACTGAACTAACAATTCTGTAAATAAGAAGAACAGGTAGTAACTTATATAAGTTGCAAATAATTTTTATGCATACAGGATACACATGGAATTATAAGTCTTGTTCGCGCATAGAAACAGATCATGCAAGTTAACACTTTTACAAGCACGGACCAAACATTCTGTTTTTAAATCGTTTACATTATAAATCGTATGTAGCAGATTTTTTTTATTTAATATCATTCGCATCGTGTGTACTCTTTTCAAAGTCCATCGTTCGTTTACAGTATACACAGTTTGTATTATATTAACCGTGTAATTTTCAAATTGTCCAAACATATGGAATTGTGTTTAGTAAATGAACTTCGTTTCTTAAAACATAATAAGGTAATTATGTTGCTTAAAACATAAGGTAAGACGAATCACGAGTAATAATACGTTTAAAAATATTTATACGACCGTAATGGAAATAATTGCACCACGCATCGTGCAAACTGTACAAAAAACACAATGTGACATACGGATTTTAAAAAATATCTTGTGAATACATATATATTTTGTCAGCGTGAAATATTATTGACCATAGATATGAAATAATTTATCACAGGAAAGATCATTCTGCCTTTTCGTGTACATCAATCAAAAAATGTAATCATTATACGTACACGTATATAAACATGAAATGTTGTATTTTGCAATTTAACAGAGTAACTAAAAACGAAGTGATAATAGAAAATATCGTTTACACACGTGCATCATATGTATATTCTATAATTCAATAAGATGTAGAAATCTATTTTTATGTTTACAAAGAGACTGGTAAACGAAATGTACGAAGAATTATGAAATAATACTAAGTCACAACCGTGTAAAATTTTGTATGAAATGTAATCACAATCGGAAATGAAAACTTATATTTATAATCAGAATAAGATTTTGAAGTAAGCCTCTGATTTCCTTGCTCTATTCAACATATAAATATTTATTTAAATATATATGTATAGTTTATACATATCTTGATTTGTACATATTTACACACATACACAAATGCATAATAGTTTACATCGTTAGTTACATACATCGAAAGCAAGCTGCCAATTTTTAGCCTCAGGAGTTAGACATTAGACTAATTAAGTGACGTAGAATGATATAATAATATTTAAAAAATAAATAAATAAATAGAATCGATAGAAAAGTTTCCCTGTAAACGTTGCTAAACAAAATCACGAAATACAAGTTGAAAATGTAGCAATAGATTAATCATAAAAATTTAAGTGAACATAACATGTAAAATTATTTTCATGTAATAATAGTGATGCTATTATAGATGTGCTGATAAAATATACGTATTATCAAATATTTAGGGCAGAATAAAAGTTAAAGCGCATTATCGTTGAACATGAATCGTTGCCTGGTAATAACAATTCGAATTGAAGACTTAATATATACTAAATGTCATGGTATCGTTTAGAGCTCGCACGATCAACAAGATACACCAGTTGAAACAAAGAATTCGATAAGCTTAAAATTCATCGATCAATTTTATTTTTAATGTATCCACGCTGTCTAGTTCAGTACTAGTCTCCTTTCGGATTTCTACTGTACAATATACATATAATATACGGCTTAATGCTACTTAATTTAATGGTCATTTTTACTATCAGAATATTTTATCGAACATTGTGCCTCATAATTCTAAATGAATTAACTAATTTCTCCAGACTCTAAAATACAATATTGCACCATATTTGAAGGAACTGTATTATCATTTTAGGAACCACGTGTGCCTAGAAACTGGAATTGTGCAACATATGTAATTGAAAAGAAATGTAAATTGGGAGCTCATGTGTTCATTTTAAGTTTTTATGAATCCTAATGAAACTGTGTAATTTTTTACAAATAAAGCTAGTCTCTTACAAAAGAATGAATAAAACCATTGAAAATTGTGTAGTATTTATTAAAGCACAATTATGTTAGTGTTAATTGCACTATACGTTTCTACGTATAGAGAAAATTGAGCTTCTGAAAAATTATGAAAAATTAATTTTCTTCGATAAGCTAATAGTAGATTTTCTATCTGGATTATTTAAAAATCTCAAATTAAATTTTCCTTGCCGTTATTTTAATAGAATATTTATATCTTAATGATTTCAGGAAAGAAATAAATACGTGCGCATTACTTGACATTTCATTTCTCAGAACATCTTGGAAAACGCAATTCGTACGTTTACTTCTATGCTCAGAAAAGATTTTCATTCAAGATTATCTATAAATCGTTTTTAATTTCTATATAAATCTCGCGTGCAGTTTGTTTTTGTATAAATACTGATTTATTTCCGAACGTAGTTGCTCTCAATTTGAATTTGAATTTGTCACGTGATATTTCAATATTTTTAGCGCGCCATTGATACAATCGCAAAAGCACAAAATCGACCAATAGGAGATAGAGTATGAAGATATTCGTTAATCGCACGGTGGGGAAAGGGAGTGACGAGCGACTACAAGCGACTACGAATTACAATTAGCGACACAACAGATGAAAGCGTGACGTGAATACGTCGGCTTGCCATATCGCGTCGAGATAATGTCGTTCGAGAAGAGAAACGTTGTCCGTTTGTAAAGGCAGGGTATACAGAGCGCCCCGTATATTAATCCGGGCACTGTTTATTCGCGCAGTTGCCAGAAAATGGAAGCGGATTATCAACCAACGGTCAGCCCAACGCGAACTTTGACAGGTGAGTATTCCGTGATCTGTCGAGAGATTGTTGACGCTGCCCAAGGTGTCAAATAAACGTCACGTCAACTACTCGTTCCCCTAGAAATGATCATTGTAAAATATTCACCTGGCGATCGACACAGATCTTTTTCGTGTTCGTTCCAACGACGGAACATATTACGATGAACCTTGGTCTCCTATATGGACACAAACGTCGATAACAGACGAATAATTTCGCGTTTTGAGACGGTAGTGCGTATCGAAAAATCGGTGACTAACCATATAGTATCTTGACTAGGTCCTGTCGCCTGGTTTCAATATACACACGTATCGGTAGAGAATTGTGTGGATTTTGAACGGTTCACGAATCTATGGTAGTTTGTAAACATCGACGAAACCCAATAAAATGTTTATTGGAGATCGTATGCCGTGTAACGTGATCGGAAAAATTGTATAGAACGTAAAACCGCTAGGTTTATACAAGACACCAATTTGTTATGACACTTCTTATGCAAACGTGTTTTCTTTCTTTTTTTTTTTTAAATTGTTGTTTACAAATCTTGTAAGTAACTGGCTTGTAAGACAAGACCATTGGTCGAACAAAGAACCGCATTGGTCGGTATAATGGTCTTCGATTCATTCATGCATATTTGGTATAGAGAATAATGCGCATCCTTTTGTTTTTGTAATAGCAATAGCTAATGACGTCGAAGACCCATATCCAAGTTTGTCGGATTATCATGATTATGAGCCCAACTTGGAGTTCGATGATACGGAGTTACAAACTACTTCGAACAACGGTAAGATATTTTAAACGTAAACACAATAATTTTTGATAAATCTAAATTAAATGTATCGTCATTTCCAGAGAATCATTTGTTTATGTTATTTGTAAATACATTTAATAGTTATTATACAATATAATTAAAATATTTATTTTGTAACTTTATAATTTTTAGAAGAAAAATTGGATTTGATTAGCACTGGTGCTGGTACCAGGATCAATTATCTGGAGAGTCCAGTGAGCGATGGGACGATCGAAGAGAACTTTGAAGAAGCTTTGGTAGATGCTCCAGTTATCGAATCCGGTGTGTGACCTTTTATCTTCTGTTAGTAGCCACTAAATGTCATGGCATTTGGGGCATAGCAGGTGAATTATGTAGACCATTGTACAGTTTATTCTTTGCATGGTATAACAGTGCACAGAAACGGGAGTTATGTGACATTTGTGATAATCTAAATAAGTTATATTGGGTACCCATTTTGTAAAAAAGACCTCAAAAGAAAATTAAGATCGAACTATTGTTTGAATATAAATTGTTTTGGTGAGTAGCAGAGGATCTTGCTGCATTGGACGGTGACCTTGCAGACGAAGAAGATTATATCGATATATCGAGATACGGTATTGTAGAAGTGGTTGGAGATGATAGTGCCGGTCGCAAAGTAATAGTCGTATCCGCATGCAAGTTACCTCCTGTTGGAAAAGAAGCATTTAATCATGCCAAGCTCCTCAGGTTTGTTTATTTTTATTCCAATGTTTTGAGAGATTGTTCGTTGGTACCAAAATCTGTAATTTACATATTTATGTAACAGGTATCTTACCCATACTTTAGACACATTTGTGGAACAGGACTATAGCCTTGTTTATTTTCACTATGGTCTCACCTCTAAAAATAAACCGCCATTGTCCTGGTTATGGCAAGCATATAAAGCTTTTGATAGAAAGTATAAAAAGAATTTAAAAGCTTTATATTTAGTGCATCCAACCAATTTCATCAGAATCGTATGGCAAATATTTAAGCCGGCTATTAGGTAACTGCTTTTTTTATTTTTTAGAATGTTAAATATCATCCCTGTATCGCTATAATTAGGCTTCCTCTACTATATCATTGATAATCGTTATTTCTATTATTTTAGTGCGAAATTTGGTCGTAAAATGATGTATGTTAATTACTTGGAAGAACTGGCACAATATATTAACCTCGATCAACTTATTATACCTCCTCAAGTAATAGAGTAAGCACAGCATTTCCTACAGTTATACAAATTTCGTTAACCATATTTCTTATTTTGATGAATTACTAGTTATTTATATTCTTTTGTAGACATAATGAACAGCTAATGTTAAAGAATAAAAAGAATTTACCTACGAGTCCGCCTCAGAGTACGGTAGCAACACCAGTTGGTACCACTCAATTTGGAGCAAGCCTTTTCTTCATAAAAGAAAACAACAATGGTGATCCTATACCACCTATAGTACGGCAGTGTGTTGAATTTCTCGATACTCCCGATGGTAATGCGATCTAATCACTTATCAGTCATAATACTATCAAGAAGATGTAATAATAGTTTTGGATGTTGTATTCCTACAGCATTAGAAACAGAAGGAATATTTAGACGATCAGCTAATGTAACAGTAATCAAAGAACTCCAGAATCGTTGTAATCAAGGATTACCTGTCGATTTCCGTGGAGATCCACATATAGCAGCAGTTCTTCTCAAAACATGTCTACGTGAATTAGACGAACCACTAATGACATATGAACTGTACGATGAAATCACACAATTTCAGAGTATGTCTTCTATTCTCGATACTTGTCCATTGTTTCTAGCTTATAAATATATTATGTACATGTATAAAACATTTCTATTCCAGCTCTTTCAAAAGATGAACGTCCAAGGAAAGTAAAAATTTTAATACTTGAGAAACTACCGGAAGACAACTATCAAGTTTTAAAATATATTGTACAATTTTTGTCAAGGGTAAGATAATCATATTTTAATAACTATTCGCTTGTTTTTCCATAATAAACAATAGCGTCTAGTAAAACATACTATTTCGACAGGTGATGGATAGATGTGATTTAAACAAAATGACATCCAGCAATCTTGCTGTGGTATTTGGTCCAAATCTTGTCAGAGCACCACCATCCCGTGGAATGTCACTCTCAGCAATAGGTCCTATTAACCAATTCATAGATTTTCTATTCATTCATCGAGATACAATATTTATTATTTAAAAAGATTCTAGAATCAAATTTTGGAGGCCTAATTTGAAACGAAATTAGTACTATCTATGTTATAGGAGAGAAATCCTACAAATTTTGCTGCCAAGTTTGATATTGTATAAAATAACAAACTAACTTCGAAGGAAAATTTTATAGGGTTTTTAATGAAAGGTTCGACAAGTATTTGAGATCTTCATCTTAGAGTATAAAAAAAAAGAACAAAGGAGTCTTATTTATCATTTTTAACTCTTCGAAGTCATATCAGACTTGTTGGAACTTGAAGAACGAACATAACAAATCATGTATAATATTCATATTTAATTATAACATCCGTACTTCGTTGATTAAAATATTTTTATATTTGAATATACAGAGAAATATTTGCATACCTACTAATGTCACAAATAGCGCTTAGTTATACAATCTGCACAAGATTTTTTAATGAATTGGTACGATAATTTCCGAATAAACAATACTGAATTATTGAAATAATATAGAGACATCTGAGTACTAGACGAGAAATGTTTGAACGGATATGGAAATTAATGGTATACCAAAGATTCATGCAAATCTCAAACAATTATTGTAAAAGCTAGGATTAGTACAATATAATAAAAATAGAAGAGCAGAAGTATGGCAATGTACAGGATGCCTTGATCGCATAATATTATTAATTTATAAGGGGAGTGAATATGACAAGATTTGTAGAAATTACAATTATTTGATATTTACGTCTTGTTATAGTTGAGAATAATATAGCCAAAGCAAAATATAACAAATTAGTCAATGTCAATAGCATATGGCAGGCATCCTTTTTATTGAAATTATGTACATACGCACCAAAATTGATAGTAATGTAAT